TTAATCTACCATTTCCCAATTAAAGTGAAAATATCTTACTGTATTTCTTACATATTCTTTCCTGACTAAAAATTCTACCTTTCATGTAAAGCCCAAATGTCAGGTTGAGAGCCAACCAAATCTTTTATACTCTCCAAATCCCTGTGTGAAATTTGTCCCCAGACTATGTCAATAGACCTCTTAAGGATTCCCACACTCTCCCACTGTTTCCTATCCTGTACACCCCACAAACATTGTCCCCTTTCTATTGTACCAACTTCCATGTGGACTCCTGCTTTATGCTAGCTTTAATAAAAATGGCCCCCAAAGGGAGACACACTATTAGGCGGCTTGGCCTTGTCAGATTAGAAGTGACCTTGTTGGAGGAAATACGTCACTGTGGAGGCAGATTTTAGGTCTCATATATGCTCAAGCCATGCCCAATGAGACAACTGTTTCCTGTCGCCTGCAGGTGAAGATGTGGGACCCTCAGCTTCTCCAGCACCATGTCTGCCTGCATACCACCAGGTCGCACCATGATGATAATGGACTAAACCTCTGAAATTATAAGCCACCTTATTAAATTATTTTCCTTTTTAAGATTTGCCATGGTCATGATGTCTCTTTATAGCAATGATGATATTTGTAATTAATTGTTCTACTCACTACTTAAGACCCTTCAAAGACCTGTGATGGAATAAGCTAAAAATATTAGTTTAGCATACAAAATCCCCTCTGGTGTGGCCTCTGGGGTACCCTGGCCACCTGTGCTGTGTCTCTCGCCTTTGTCAACCTCTAGCTGTGAGGGATTACTTGTACCTTCCTAACTTACTGTACACACAGTACATATGTATATGCCTTTCCATATATATTCCTGGGAGAGGAGAAACAGCAATCAGAATATATTGCATGAAAAAATTCAATAAAAATTAAAAGTATAAATAAAAACTTACAAATTTGGTGTTCTGCAGTTTCCTTTAAAAAGAAGAAAAAAGAAAAAGAAAATGTCATGTACAGCTTTGGTCACTTCTACTTGGACAGTCCTCTCTGAACATTCACCTGTTGACCTCAGTGAACACTGGATAGAGGGAAACTGCCCATTCCACGTTTTTCTACCCCCACTCTGCAAAGTCTTAGGAACCCATTGTGTAGTATATAAATGTCATATCAATACCACCTGTATCCACATCATAACTGCTCTTTCAAAATATTTATTTGTGTGTGTACACCTGTGTATGCAAACAGAGGACAGAAAATGGTGTTGTGTGATGTGGGATTCCCGTCTGTATGCTGTGAATAACATTGGTTAATAAAGGAACTGCTTTGGGCCTACAGCAGAGAGATAGGAGAACAGAGCTAGACAGGAAAAACCTAAACTGAATGCTGGGAGAAAGGAAGTAGAGTTAGAGAGAAGCATGTAGCCCTGCCAGAGACAGATGCCAGAACTTTATATGGTAAGCCACAGCCTCGTGGCAATACACAGATTATTAGAAATGGGTTAAATTAAGATATAAAAGTTAGCCAGTAAGCAGCTAGAGCTAATGGGCTAAGCAGTGATTTAATTAATACAGTTTCTGTGTGATTATTTCGGGGCTAAGCAGCTGGGAACCAACAAGCAGTCTTCCCACAACAGTAGTGTGTCCTCTATCGTTCTCTGCCTGCTCCTTTGAGGTAGGATCTCTCCCTGAACCTTGTGATAGCATCTACTTGATAGGCTCAGAGCCAACAAGCTCAAACAAGCCATCTCTTGTCTCTGCCTGCCTTGGCATTAGCCAATGCCCAGCTTGCTGAGTGGATGCTGGTATCTGAACCCCAGTCCTGAGAACTACACAGCAAATACTGCTGCCGAGCGTTCTCTCATCTCAAACCATAGCTTATTAAACTGTTTGCTGTGACCTCATATGGGTTTCATGAAATAAAATGTGCAATCACCAAAAAAAGGCAGCAATAAAAGTTGTCTGAATATCTGATGCCCCCCAAATTAATTCACAATCAAATACGTCATGAATCTGAATGTTTCTGGAAGGACTGACCAGGCTGCATTGTCTGAACACACATGTGTACTTACACTACACATGCCCTCATGTCATCCAACACTAATGAAGACTTCCTGGAACATCTCCGTTGAGCTTGAGTGTATTGTGAGCTGTGGATTGTAGCGTTTTTAACTCTACAAAAACTTCCTGCTTTTAGAAAAGCATAATGGTTTAATCATAGAAAACAAAGTCTTTAATCCTCATTCTCATTCCATCACTAGAAAATATTGCTCTGTTGTTTTCTTTACAACGGGGGAAAAGGGAAATGAAAATAGATGAAGGACCACACAACTAGATCTTAGGATATTTGATCTTTAAAACTGTAGTTTAATGGGGCTGGAGAGATGGCTCAGTGGCTAAGAGCACCAACTGTTTGACTATTCTTCCAGAGGGCCCAAGTTCAATTCCCAGTACCCACATGACAGCTCACACCTGTCTGTAACTCCTGTTACAGGGGATTCTGACACCCTCACACAGATAGACAAGCAGGCAAAACAACAATGAACATAAAACAAAAATAAACTATATATATATATATATATATATATATATATACATACATACACACACACACACACACACACACCTGTGGTCTAAGTCGCAGACTCGAATGATACAAAAATTGTTAAATAATTTTGGCTTGAAATGAGCACAGAATGTCCAAAACTTTCTGACATGGCCCTAAACATATCTGTGTCATTCAATCCTACATATTCATGGGAAGTGATGTTCTAATCATTTACAATTATTTAAAACAAAATCGTGTTCAACTCTGGAAAACATAAAGATAGTCTATGTCCGGCAATATAAAATACTTACGCAGGGTTTAAATGTTTATGTAAAGATTAACAAGCACATCCCTTCCATTAGCATGTAAACTTACTTTTCTCCCTAAGAGTATGTAGCAAAGGGAGTTTATGATTTATTATCAATAAAGGTTTGGTTTGTATACCCATTTTACATATACATTATTTATAGGTATATGTATATGTATGTTGTATTATTATGTATATGTTAGTGTACGTGTGTGTATGTATGTGTGCATATATATATGTATGTATATGTAAGTGTGTATGTATATTCAGGTTGATATAAAACTAGACAAAAATGAGTGATTAGTGAAAAGGTTTAAGGAGCTCTTATTTAATGGTAACAAATATTTAGTAGAAAGACAAAGAATTATAATGTAACTAACCTGTCCTATAAGCCCGTTCATAAGATAGGTATAAACAATCAGTGATGACAATCACACAGCATCCAGTAATTTTCCTCACTTTTTGTAACAACCGTGTGTGTGCACACTTGTGAGTGCATGAGTGTGGGAGGGGGTGGGAGTGGACAAAAACCTAGCCGTTAACTGACAGAGGAAATGTGTTCTGCAATCATACACCTATCAAAGTAGTCAAAAATAAACAGAATGGATTGTTTATTTTACTGATAACTCAGCACAGAAGGCCCTGGAAAACACCTAAAACTAGAAAAATCACCTATCCCCGGAGACCTGTACAAACCACAGTATCAGGTAAAATGATGCCATTCTTGGTTCTGGAACCCACACTTTCCCAGACTGAGCCACTCTGTTTACAGATTCCCGAATCTCCTTTCCTTTTTCTCCAAGTGCATCCAAGCAGAATGTTCTGTTGAACGTGCTCGGCTCTTCTGGGCCAGGGCAGCCCTATCCTATTGAACATCAAATCCAAGACTTCCTAGGGTTTTTAAGCATCTCATGCTTCTTTTCCCACATCCTTGCCTCTCTTCTTGTGAACCAGAACATTCTGCCCATAACACCAGATGTGCTTGGTTCCATCTACAACTAAAGCAGAATGCTACCCAGACACCCCTGGCCTGCCTTCCTATACTAGGCAGACACTGAGGCTGAGCCAATCCGGATGTTTCTTTCACTTCTACCAGGTGTTTGCTATGTGATCTTCTGTGAGCTAATCCCATTCAGACAAGTCATTTCCCAGCCTAAGAACTGATACTAACCACAGCAATTTGCTTGCCCGGTGAAGACAAACAAAGACACAGGTAAAGCAATCGTTACCACCCCTGGACCACAAAGGTGATTAACGAACAGTCACCCCTTTCTGAGGCACTGCCATTTCCCTCAGTCTGACGGTCCTCTGGGTCCCGTTGTTCCCTTTCCTGTAGACACCCTCATTTTGGCTACAGCAACCAGAGAGCTTCAAATCCTACATTCTCACACGTACCCCTGTGTACCAAACAGTCCTGTCCAAACTGCAGACCCTGGACACTCCACCTGCATCTGGGGGTAGCTATGAACGTAGCCCAAACTCAAATAGAAAACTTACCTAGCACATCATTGTGAGATTTGGGGGGCGGAGGGGGTGTAACAGGGCACGAGAGGGGATAACGGCAAGCATAAACATCACAGATAACAAACCACGTCTAGGTCACAAGGTGAGACATGCCTGATTAGGCACAGATACTTTAATTGCAGAAATACTTGGTATTTTTTTAATACTGTGAAATATTGCAGAAACATTTTCTGTATTGTTACCTGATTCTCACAATACTCCTACAGGTACAATAATTGTTCCTGCTTTACAGACGAAGAAATGAAGACTTTAACTTGGCCAAAAGTTAGGAAGTAAGAAAATATTAACGCACTCGAAACTGCTACATTCCGAAGTGCCTGGATGTGCTCGTGTTTTGTTTTTAATTGAAAGTACCGAGGGTGCGGTTTGATTGCTTTTAACTTCCCAGCAAAGTGCACTGCTGGGCAAGTAGACCATGAATAAGACAGGTGTTACTTAAAGGAATGATGGACGCTGAAACCTGAAGCCTCTTTGAGCCTCTTTGAGCCAGGAGAGGTCTGGGCGACTGCACCCAGCTAAGAGCTCCTCTGGCCAGGCGCTGTCTCTCACTTCCAAAGTTGGAGCTTTCCTTGGTGGGAGGGGGGTGGGGAGGAGGGGAGGCCAGTGACGTCACTCTGCAGCAGGGATAAAACTCCCCGACAGCTTTCCCAGCTAGGTCGCAGCCTGGGGAGCTAAGTGGATTGTCCGGTTCCAGGACAAGCAGTGTGCACCCGTCGTTCGACCCGGTCCCAGGAAGGCATCATGCCCCAGAACGTGGTCCTCCCGGGCCCTGCGCCCTGGGGCTTCAGACTCTCGGGGGGCATAGACTTCAACCAGCCTTTGGTCATCACCAGGGTAGGTGTTTTCCGTTCTGATTTTTGCTAAGGGTCACCTGGCATCCAGGAGAGAGGCGCGGCAAGTGGCTCTGGAGCTATAGGAGAATAGCCAAGAAGCCCGGGGAGGGAGGCAGGATAGCTCACCGAGTGAAGGAGAGGCGGGTGCTGAGCTTCTGGATCCCAGTTGAACTTCAGCAACAGGCTGAGAAGATGCGAAGCGGTTTTGAAATTCATCCAAGTCGGCTCACACACCCTGCATCCCTTTTTCTTGGTCCCCCAGCCACATTTCCAGGAGAGGACAACCAGGAGAGGTGCCCTAGCTGGGGGTGCTTTGGGCTCTCCCCACTCCGCTTCTTTCATATCAAACAGACACAGGGAGAGAGAAAGAGGTACTGAGAACGCACAGATATTTGGTAGAGCGGAACTTGCACCTGAGCAATTCTCTTGCTTGGATGAAAACTTCGGCAGGGTGCTGTTCGCAGGGCATAGCGTGGCTTGGCCAAGTTGGAACCACTCATATCAGCCCAGGCAGGGAAAATATTACTAATGTGTATTCCTCCGTTTCCAGGCATTTTGAATAAATATTTTCCAAAGCTGGGGACTTGGCTGAGAAAGGATTACCTATAATTCAAACTACAAAAGAAAACCTGTGCCATAGTTTACCTGATAGAGAACAACTACTAATACTAATAACTTTGAAAATAAGACTTCAGTAGCAAAAGCAAATGGCTTTTTTTTCCATGTTATCTAAAGCAGAACCCAACAAGAAAAGGGGTGTAAAAATGAAACCCAGGTTTCCTTTTCTGATAGCAAATTTCTAGAATAACTGTAAAACATTATTTGGTCTAGTTGCTAGTTTCTCCGTTTTTTCGAAAGCAATCATTTCAGTTACCACATGCAAACCATTTTAAACATAAAGGCATAAACTTTCAAATATTATTGAAATAAACTTTCAAATAATTTTATTCTCCAAATGTTATTCTTCTCTTCCTGCTCATACTGTATTTTACAAATGCCTGCTTTATAACCTAATCATTCGCAGATTCTTGAATAAGACAATATATGTATGTCGATATCATTTGGGGAGCACTCTGCCTTTTTAAAGTCTCAGAGCATGTATCACAGGGATGCATGCAACGGGTCATTTCAAGCTTTGTTTTACATTTTTCAAAAACATATAAACATGTCTGACATGTGTTTTTATATGAGACATGAAAACATACCCCCCAGAAATGCTCTCAAGTAAAGTAAGCAGCAAATGCTTCCGTGACCTGGGCCAAGCAATTCCTTTTATAGATTCACCAAGGAGAACAGTCTCCACAGTTTCTACGGAGAAACATGCTTAGTTTATATAGCTTCACTTGCTGAGATTAAATAACAGAAGCTTTTGAATCCTAACAAAGAATAAATCATCTTTAAATTGAATCCTAAGGAATGGATTATGTCATAAAGACCCTTGAAGAAACTTACAGAAGAAGTATCCCACTTTCAGTTTGTAACATAGCTGTTGAATGAATCATGTGTTTGAAATCAGGGACCGTTGACACTAAAAGCTCTATTATCTTAAAGCCATCTTGCATCTGTATTTGCACTCTGAAGGCTATTGGTGAATGGATTGGATGTAAGGACAGGTTTACTTGAAGAACCATTCTGTCTTGGATTTCTAACTCCTATCTAGTCTGGGCCACAACTGTAGGCACTTGATTCAGTCAAAGACCAGACATTATTTATTTAAAGTATGCCTTTTCAATTATCTTAACTTCTAGGAAACAGAGAACACGGAACTGTTCAACCCAAATTATCTCTAAAGCCATGTGTATCAGGAATTCTTGTTGAATAAACGCAAGCCCGCTCACTTGGGCTTCTATGCCTTCATTGAAACTGATTAAGAATATACCCACTGAAATTACAGAGACATGGGAAATCATTTGGATAAAAACCTAGGAAGAATTAGTCAAAAATAACTGATGTTACTATGCAGTGGAATAAATCAATTTTGTAATTTTAATGTTATTCTAAAAGGTATTGGCTAACATTGTGTATACTGTTACATTTTTTTACTTAGCACACATCCTTCTAAGACTGTTACTTTGGTTAACTCACTTCAAGCTCACATCTTTATTCGAGCAGAAAAAAAAAAAAAGGTCCGTTTCACAGATTAGATCGAGCCTTGTGACCAATGATCACAAGTGGAGGACCAGATCTGCCCAGCTCCAGTGCCTGCACGCTTAAGACCACACATGATAAAAATGTCTCCTGTAACATCCAGTATGTCAGTGGCCCATCTCTTCTACACCAAGACTCACTCTCTGTTCTTTGGGTTGCTATCTTTATTCAAGACATCACAACTTCCTGCCTAGAAGCCTGCCTGCCTTCTCCTAGTCACCCTGTGCATTCTTAGCATCCATCTTTGAAAAGCACAAGGGGCCTGTCATCCTCCCCCACAACATCCTCCGGTGACTTCACCAGCTTGTAGAGAACAGACGATGTGTTCTTCAGCACGGCTTTTTACTGTCTGTTGTGACTTCCTTCCCTCTCCCTTGTCTCCTCTCACTCCATACTTGGGCAGTGATGCCACAGCTCTGGCTGCTTGTGACCTCCCTGGCATGGCTGAGCTTCTGACACATGTCTCTTTCTCCCAGAATTCTTTGCTCTACCTCCACGCCATGGTCCTCTCTGCCTATGAAAACCTACTCAAAACTTCTCCCCAAGCTCTCTTCTAATCATGGTCATTTCTTTCCTTGCATAATGATGACTTTCCTCCTATGGGCTCTTATTATCACGTGTATACCACAGATACTTAAGCATACCCCACTCCATCACCTTTTACACTGGAAACTGTTCAATATGTCCAATATCTTCTATATCATAAATGCCATAAGATAAGTATAGCCATAATATGAATGGCTAACTTGTTCACCCTTTACATAACTTTATTGCCATAAATAATAGGTAGGTTGCGCTCCCCCAAATATTCACCTTACAATAAAGGTAACTATTTGTCTATCTGGTTAAATTCTTAAGGACGCAAAAGACTGAAATGCAAAAGTCACACTTACTGTCACAAGAAGGTCCTTCCTTACACAAGAGGTATTTTCTCGAGCCACTGAAGTCAGCTTTTGTCCTACTACAAGCTAGGTTGTATGTACCCTTCACCCTCTCCTGGGTAAATGCAGACTAGGGAGGGTCCTCCATTCATGACACTGCTGCTTTTTAATGGCATGCAAGTGACACACCTGCAGTTCAGTGTTGCCTCTGCCTGTGCTAGCAACTGGCAACGTGCTACTCTGTCTTGATGCCGGATAGTGGCAGATAAGCCACAGCTAGAGTCGACCATGTGAGCAGGAGAGCAACAGTGAGCCTTTATAGTGCGTTGTACTCTGCATTAGGATGTTCAGGTTGATATATTACATTTTGTTAGTTTAAGACGTTTTCAATGGCACAAAGAAATTGCAATTGATTGGAATATAACTTTGCCTTACACCAAGGAGCTTCCAGACAGCACCGCTAGGAGACGATGAAGCTCCACCCAGAGCTTGAGGGAAGGTTACTTGTGGACGGGGTCTAAGCCAGGTTCTTGGCCTCTTATCCAAAGAATTTAAACTAGGGGCTCACTAGGACTCGCAAAAGTAGCAAGATAACTTTATTCTGAGTACAGATTGGAGAAGGAGACACCATCAAAACTGACAGTGGGCCACATGAGTGAGACGACTCAAGGGACTCCCCCCCCCCCATCATCGTTCTGGGCCTCTTTTATTGGACTTAGAAGGACTTAGTTACCAAGGGATGTAAACTTTGGGTGGTTCTCTATGTTGTTTTAAAGCTTAGAACATACATTCATTTTTCCTGTGTGCATGTCCCATCCTATAATGCGGCTGGCTTTAATTGTATGCACAGCCAATTCTACATAGATATAAGATGGTAAATAGGAAATTATCCTAAAAATTTACTAGGAAACACAGTTTTGCCTTATTTTGCATGTATCCAAAGCCAGATCAAGGCGGATTAGCCTTTCTAGTCACACATATATGTGATGGGAATACACTTGAATAGTCTAAATGTAGTTGTACTGGGAGGAGAAAACTCATACCATTCTTAGAGATGGGAACGCCAGTAGCCTGGTATAGGGTGCGAGGGAGGTTCAGGAGGACTCTAAGGTTGCTAAGTACACTGTTTGGAGCAGGGGAGGTGCATAGCATATGCAGGCAAAGAAACTAGGCGGTCAAGCACATCATTACTAGCAGGGGTGGGAGTGGGACATAACCAAAACTGGGGACCCAGGTTGCTAAATTCTCTCCTATGCTCTCCTGCTTCAAGGTAATATGTTACCTCACCCCCAACCAAATCTGCTGAAATTGTAGTTCCAAAAGTTAAGACAAAGGGTTTCTGTTCCCTAATTATTCACAAACCCACTAACCAGTGCAATGATTTTTAGTGTACTTTGAAGAAACACATGCACACATCAAAAGGCAGGAAAATAAACCATTAGACCCAAGGTTTTCTAGACAACACACACACTGTATTTTGTGTAAGATAAAATGTAGTTTGGGGACATTCAGTGTAAGAGAGTGCCTCGGTCCAATCTGAAATGCCTCGTCCTACATTGTATTTTGAATACTCAGTCTTTAGTTCGGGGTGGGATACCACAGGAGGTTTTAGGAAATGAGACCTGGCTCATGGAGGCAATGAGGGCCAAGCCTTTGAGGTTACACCCCCACACTCCCACCCCCGCCTAGGCAGCGCTCTGTCCCCTCTATAGGTTACTCTGCCAGAGATTCTGTCACACAATGACACAAAACTCAGAGAGAGTGGTTATTTCACATGTCTATGTGAGTTTCTTTGGTTTTTCTTGAGAGAAGATCCTAAGGGTTCTTCTTGAAGTTTCTTGACCAACCAGGAAATGGATTGACTCTCACAGACAAATCACAGATTGTTGACATTTGTAAAATTCATATATGAAAGGCAGCACAAACTCAAGTTGTCCACACGTCATGAAATGGGTGTGCATCTGAGGCCAGT